AAAGGTAAACTGGTAAATGTGAATGCCATTGTTAATTTCATACAAATAGTAAAGAAGGCAACATACTTGATGACTATAACTCAGTACAATTCCAATAACAGTCTCACACCTGAGTTTAAATGAGTTTTGTTCGAAAAAAGAAATAATTTGGATGAACTTATTAACATAGCGACCAAGGCTGAAGAAAGATCTATGATCCAAATTTCTTTTCGGGCCCAAGATCCGAACATCAAGACAGGCACAATCCAGAATCCGTGCCAAAATTCACAGTTGATCCATGATCCGCTGTGTTTTCAAAATCTGGGAATTCACTCGATTTACCGCAAAACTCCACAATCTGTGCGTTTTTTAAGGCCAAATCAGTCAAACCAAAAACCTATTCACCCCCATCACTGAGCAATCATAGTAAAGTTCAGGACACGCTTGCAAACCAGAAAACGACAAACCAACTACCGTTACTGTTTGGGATCTGGTTTTCTCGCGCCTAATCAGCTTTTTCCTTGCTACACAATAACATTCCATTCCATAAATATTTCTGGTGTTCATGGTTTTCTAAGTTTCACAGTTATGTAATAGTTTCTCAGCAATGAATGCTCTGGTTGTTATGGTGGTGGACCAAAGTGAAGCTCTAATGAACAGCTAACACTTGACACATCGGCTTCCTAAACTCACTTTAGCAGTTAATTAACCTTTATCAACTTAATGTTCATAAATAACTAATTGATTGAATTATTGATAGCTTACTTAGCCAGGCCTCAACTAGTAGAGAAAAAACTGAACATGTGGCACCAGTTTCCCAGCTCTCTCTGTACACATTGCAGACCTATGGTGTTTGGTTATAAGCCAATTCGGAGTTTAAAGAACTAGTGCATTGGGCATGCATTTTTATCCCTAATTTATTCTCTCCTTTTGTTATTTGAAAAAGAAAATGAAAGAAGTGAATAAATCAGGGATAAAAATGCTTGTACACAGCACTAATTCTTGAAACTCCAATTTTACTATTTGGCTTATTGGAAGCCATGCAATTTTACCTTTTTTCCACAATTTTTCTTTCTACTTACTGACCTAAAGCAACTTCATCCAGAATTAACATTCTAAAACATAATTGTATTTTTATTATATACTATTTGCTGCACAATTAGTTTTAAAACAAATCTTGCAAGCTGTGGAAACAAAATATTTTAAAGATGTGTTAAGAAAACAGTAGTCTGCAGCTTTTAACTCTTTTTTCTGTGTCTCCTTCTTTCAGGATTTCTTCAAGAAAGAGGACTCACATATGATTTACTTGTACAGTTAGTAAATTTTCCTAAAATTCCAGCAATAATTTTCATGTTATCCCTGGTCTATTATATTTTAGTTTATCAGGCAATTTATTATTTTGTTGTATGATACATTTTTTTATTGCTTTTACATTTTCGTGTAATGTGTGCAGATTTGGTGGCCACTCTCAATAAAATAATACAGCTGCTTTTTGACTCTTTCATTTAGAGCAAGGCATCTTAAACTGGCTAGTGATGTTGTGAAGAAATTTCCAAAGTAAGTGTTTGCATGCTTTGTTGAAGACTTGATTGTAGAGTGGCTCTTCAGGATGTTTGAGAGATGTTTGTTTTAAAGAACTTCCACGGCACGGATTTCCTATAGTCCTGTTTTGATTTTGATCTCTGTCTGGCCTGGGGGGTGGACTCCCAGGGGGTACTCATGGGGTACTCATGGGGTACTCATGGGGTACTCGTCGGAAACTTGAAAAGCACCCCCAAGAGGTACCAAGATCCTGTTTTGTGGGCGTGGTTTCAAATGTTTTTCACCTCTAAGAGGTAACAGTTCCACAAACAACACATTATTTCCTGTCATATTTTTTTCGGCTCAATACCCCCAAAAGGTACCGCACAGTTTCCCGTCGTGAAACATCCAGGCTGAACACCCTAAGTGGTACCAAGATCGCGTTTTTCACCCCTAAAAGGTAGGACGAGCACCCCCGTCCCTATTATATGGGGACTGATAGCGGCAGAGGTACTTTTACAGTGGACTTCCATCTCATTTATAAAAAGAAACCTGAATTAAGAGCCACAAGACAACTGTTAATGTGCAACCACTGTTATTTTTTGAGAGCGGTTTTCAGTTGAGTGTCGTAAGACCAAAACCACACCAATTACGTACTAATGAGACTACTGTACTCTGCCAATCTCAAACCGTGGTAAAACCAGAAGCAAAGTAATTTCCTGGTTACTATCAACACACTATTGAAAACCGCTCTAATGTGCCTGCGTGTAATGGCTCCGTTCAAGCCAGAATTGAAATCTCCTTTCCTACACACGTGCAGTCAATAAACCCTAATTTAATATGGGATATCATCCTATTCCCGCAACTTCAGCTATATCGAAGCGGTCAACTGGAATAATTACTTTAAGAAATTACCTTAATATCCTTACGTGTCATGGCTTAATAATAATCGTTACAATTATGCAGCAATGTGTATATGGTGAAGAAGAGTCTTAAGGAAGTTGAAAATCTGAAAATAACTCTCGCCGAAGTAACAATATTAAACAAGTAACTCTAAAAGGAATTTGTTCTTACCAGTGTTCACAGCTCTTGATTATAACTTGTCCTTTCCAAGAAGGGTCCAATCAGGCCTGAAGTGAAACACAAACGGCGCTTGTCGATGTTATGTTCTTATCACATTAGTGCAAATCAAAACCAGAAAATGTATCACAGCTCTACCGAAAGCAGTCAAGAATCAAGAATCTTCCGATGTACTTGCCATTTAGAACGAAAAAAAAAATGACTTGATTTTATTTCTTCTGATTTCAAGTTTAAAGTTTGTAGTTGACCATGCTGCAAAACCTGAAATAAAGAAAGGAATGGTGGATGACTGGAGAAGTGGAATGAAATTGCTGGCTCAAAACCAAAACGTGTATTGCAAAATGTAAGTAAAGCCCGTGAGTGGTGAGTCTTTCAAGTTCAAGTATACAATGCAGTGCAGTGCAGTGCATATTAGTAATGTAAGGCTTTCTGGTGGTTTCTTTGAATGTGCGAACTTGAAAATTTGCAAAATTGAAAATACCGTAGAATTCCGAAGGTAACGGCCCCCGTTACTTTCGGATTTAGCAGGCAAAAGGGGCCGCTACTTTCGGATAGCCGTTACTTACGGGCAGCCGTTACTTTCGAATGGTTAAAAAACGTTTGTAAAGTAACAGACGTTTCAGACAAAGCGGACGCGTAACACAAGAATTATATCTGTTTCCAGCCACCCTCATAGACAAAGCAGACTGTATAAACAAAAAGGCCCTAAACCGTTTTGTACTGTCACAATACAACTGATTACCCTACAGTATATCATTTGACTATGCTGTTAGACAAACATAGTTTATAAATCATAGTTTCAAGAAAACTGATTCAGTCAATTTCCAAAATAAAATCACAGATAACTCTTCAAGTCAATTCAGTTTTCAGTCCTGCATTCAGGCTGTTCCATGCATCCGCTTGACCCGCGCCTGAGAACAGAGACTTTCTCTTTTAGTGACTTCTTCAAAGGGCTGCTACTTTCGGGTGAGCCGCTACTTTCGGGAGGACCGTTGCTTTCGGGGTTCAATATGAAGGTAAAAAATTAACGTAACTTGCGGGGAGTCGTTATTTTTTGGGTCCGTTACTTTCGGAATTCTACGGTACGTTCGGTAGATCGAACGTTTACGACAATTCAGTTACTATCAGAAAAGTTTCTCGTTTTGAGTTGAAGAAATTAGAGAAATTTGGCTAAGAAATATTGAAAACTAAAGATTCTTGATCGTGTTAGGAATAGCCAAAGCAAATTTAAAATAATGCTCTTGAATTGATTATTCAAGTCGGTTTGGGGTCAACGTATGTGTAATAGCTCGTAAAGAGAGAAATTACCCATTTCGGAACTTTTTCTATCCCGCAGCTGGAGAAACACCGTTTAAGGGCCTGTTTACAAGGAGAGAGGGTTATCCTGGCAAGCTTGTTACCCTAGCAAGCCTGGTTACCCTAGCACTCACACATTTCCTCTTTTATTTCTTCGTTGTGTTTACAAGGCAGCTAGGGTTATCCGAGTAGGCGGGTTACCCTATCTGCGTGCCAGGGTTACCCTGGCAGGCGTGCTAACTTTTCTCTTTGAACTACATGTAGGCTCAATTACCAGCACCCGCTTAGGGGCGGACACGAGAAAACGGGGGAAATCGAGCCTAAACTTCATGTTGCGTAGTAAGAAAACAAGAAAATGAATACTTTATGTTCACCCCACAGCTGTAGCTTGCACATGCGCAGAAATATGAAACGAGCGTTTGATCCAGCGCTATCTTCTCTCTTTGGAAAAGACAAGAAACCAGTCTGTCGCTCCTCCAGAGAGATTGGACGAGCAGGAATTGAAAGATCTGATAACTCGAGTAACATACGAGTACATACGAGCACATACGAGTACATACGAGTACATACGAGTAAAAATACGAGTACATACCAGTAACATACGAGTAACATACGAGTACGTACGGGTAACATAAGAGAACATAAGAGTACATACGAGTAACATACGACTACATGCGAGTAACATACGAGTACATACAGACACATACGGTAATATACAGGTTATATACGAAAACCATGACCCGCGCACATGTAAAACTGAAATAGAAAAAATGGTACATTTCATGTTTACTACTCTCCTGCCATCGTATGTTGCTCCTATGTATTCGTATGTAACCAGTGTATTCGTATACAGCCTGTATATTACCGTATGTGTCTGTATGTACTCGTATGTAGTCGTATATACTCGTATGTTTTCCACTTAGACCCCGTGTTTTCCACCAGACCGCGTGTTTTCCACCAGACCCCGTGTTTTCCACCAGACTACGTGTTTTCCACACCCCGGGACCCCGGCTCCACGTTTTCCATCTAGCCCTATTGGCCGGTAGGGCGGTACTCACTGGTCAGATTCTTGGAGCGTCTGTGATTTAATTTGATCAAAAAGCTTTTAGTGGCCTAACATTCGGGAAAGTCGCTCTAAATCAGTTTGTATGCCTATTAGAAGGTCGTTTGCGTCTACTAGCATTTCTTTTCAACAACAGTTAAATTTCCTTATGTTATGTACGTCAAGGGTAACCTGCGGGGTAGCTGGAGGGCTCAAAGACCTCAGAGGCCCTGCAGGCTAAAGAGGATCGTAGTTCGGACGGATTGTAGCCCGAGTAACGTGCTTTCCTTACGCTTCGATCAAACTGTAGCCTGCAGAACAGGCGGGTTTGCGGGACCGCTAATCCGCCTGTTCTGCAGCAGGCTAATCAACCTGTTCCCCTCATCCCCAATCTTCCCGGTTCGCCACAGCGGTCGAAACACGGGAGATAATTGTCAGTATTGAAAAACATGTGCAGTCCGCGTTTGAAAGATTAATGTGACAGCGCCCTTGCCAATACATGACGTGACCGACATTGGACTGCTATCATATTTTGGGAAGTCAGGATTTTGCATAGCTTGCCTTTTTTGGAAGGAACTATCAATTGACGGTTTTCGGGCAAATTTGGACGACAGCTTGTGTTTTGCCCTTTGTCCAAACGCCTAATTTCTGGTGTTTGGACCTCCAATTCACAGCCTGCTGGTGATGAATCCTTTCCCTGGAAAACAGATTGTAGATGCCCATATTCGTGAGTTACGACTGTTTTTGTTGTTTAAAATAAGCTTATGGCTCACGACGCCTGTTAACTTAATGCCTCAACATGCCCGGGAATCTTTAACCGCCAAACTGTACAACTGTATGTTATGGCTCAGTTTTCGACCGGTACCAGTACCCGACCAGTGGAAAAATAATTTCAATTTTTGTGTCGAGCTTGTTAATCTCTAGGAAACGAAATACTCTCAAGGAATGCCGAACATTTCAACTTTGGAATAAAAAGTTTCTGCGCGCCATAGCTTGTGAGAAACGCACACTTGAACAAACCTCCGTTTACTCACATGCCTGTCACATGCTTTTCGCAGGGCGATAATATATACTACCGCTATACCGTAGACTACCCATGCTGAACTTTAAGTCTGATAAATGTGATATTTTCCGAGAAGTTTTTCTTTATTTTAAGTCTGATAATACTCGAAGAGTTCAAGTGACCAGAGCATTAAATATTACCTGAAATTGAATTTTTCTTGAATAACAACAGCTCGGAAATTTATGTATTCACAAATGTATAATTTCACTGACGGTGCTTTGTGCCTCCAGTTTCCGACCAGTTTATCCTGAATGTGCAAAGTTACCTAAAAAGTATCTTTATAGTTTCATCTATGACTTTGCTTTGGGATATTCATTTTATGTCACGCTAGGCAACAAAAGGAAATTCTAATGATTTCACTTTCTGAAGGCAAATTCGGCTTATTTTCCGTGATGTGTTGGTTTTGCGTGACACTTGAATAACAGGAACCGGAAGAAAAAAATCCGTTGCTTTTTCCTTGTCATCGTTTTTTTAAACGACCCTCGTTAATTTCGGAAGTAGCAGCCTCTGGGGCTTGTTGCTCTCGGAGGGTCATTACTTTCAGGGAGCAAAAAATGATATAAAAGTCGGTACAACTACGCTCTCTTCCTGCCGCATGGATGAGTCATTCATTTCTAGACCCTGTGATATTTCACAATGCTTCGTGGCATAAGCAATACCTTCCCTTGTTGCAGACTGCCTTAAATCAAGTTATTATACGTAACTTACACCTGACTATTGTTCAGTGGAAAATAAATATGCTATTGAACCTGGGTCTCGCTATTTTGGTGGTGTGGGGTTATGGAGGGTGGGCTCGCTACTTTGGGAGGACTTGTTACTTTTGGGGGTCCCTACTATTAGGATTTAATAGGGGCCACAATTTTTTGATCTTATTTTCGGGAGTCTTTTCTTTCGCAAGTTTGCAGCCGGTGTTTAGCAGTAGTTGCTTTAGCTGTCAACTGCTATTGATTTTTCAGCTTTGATTTGTTAGTTACATTTCTTTGGCATTTCCTCTTTTATTCATTCCTTCATTCATTTGTAAGCCGCAGCAATGAAAGTTGCTACTAAGAGTTATCGCAGCATTCCAGCATAAGATATCTATTATTCAAAATGACGGCAGGTTGAGCTGCATCCTCATTCTATCAACATGTGACCATACGCGATAGAGACTCTTCTTTCGTGTTCCCTTGTGGGTAGGAGACTGCTGCTATTTCAGCAAAACAACGGTTAACAATACACCGATACCACCAACAGTTGACTGATACACCACCAACAGTCAACCGAAACACCAGCGCCTGTCGATCGCAACATATTGGCCGAGTGTCAACCGACATACCAACCCAATAGTGTCAACTGACATTCTTTTAACTTGAACAACATGTAGACCGACACTTGCTGACTCTGGGTCAACATATCAACCGAATATCAGCCGATATGTCGGCATATCGGTCCTGACAGTCAGTCGACATATCAGCTGATAGTATCAACCGATACTCGGCCGACAGATGCCTTAAGTACACATGATCCAACTTATTAATAACCATATAATAATCATGTATTGAGCTGCGTCTTTGGGAGAGGTCAGCATAGGCTCCTTTCCTGAACAGCAGCTGGTAATCAACCCTCTGTGACTTAAAGGTACCAGGCAGAATCCTTATTGTGGGAGAAATCGCTTTGAGTCATCCCAGTAGTTCTTCTCTATAATAAAATATTATATTCATAATATCAATTAACAAATAGAAAACATGTACCGTGTTTCTATAGAGTTTTAGTATAAATCTACTAGTGTTCTTCTGGGAGGCGCGGAGGCCTCATGGTTAGTGTGCTCGTCTCCGGATTGAGCGGTCTGGGTTCGAGCCCTGGCCGGGGACATTGTGTTGTGTTCTTGGGCAAGACACTTNATCCAGGGGGGAGTAGAAATACTCCTAGGCGCTTCATGCTACAGAAACCGGGATAAGCTCCGGCCTGATGGGCCACTTGGCTCGCATGCAGACTTACTTTGCTTACTAGCGTTCTATCACAAATGCCATTCTCTGATTGGCTATGCTACTCTATCTATTCTGTGATAGATAGTGAGTAGTTTAGCAGCGTGCCCTTGTTAACAAAATGACAGCTGCTTTCTGTGAAGAGGATTTAGTCGATTGAGTTTTGAACGACTAGTAGATTTATACTAAAACAATTAGATTATTCCCTCTCAATTTCTATCGCCTGATAGTTGACTCTTATTTTTATATTGTGAAACAGACAAAGCAAATAATTTGTATATTTGTCTTCTTTCAGATTTATTGGAACCAGACAAGTTTTTCTATCCCTGGCCTACTCCAGACCTGACTGCCATTTATAGGCCTTTCAAATTCAGTGACCTTGAAAGTGCCATAAACCCTACTCCCACAAGGAAGGTGGTGTTTATACAAGCAAACCAGACCTATGAAGAGACAGGTAACACAACATAATTTGACTTCACGCTATATAACCTCACGTTTGACAGTTAATTTATGATATGTGTTTCAAATGGTGACCTTTAAACTTATAGAATTTAATATGCCACTAATCAATGCAGATATGTTATGTTTTTTTTTTGTGATATGTAACCACATAATTTGGATATTTTGCAATATAGGGTGGCCCAGAATCCAACATTTGCAACATGTTGGCAGTTGTGTGCAACAAATGTTGCCATGCATATATTGCATTGAAATGTTTTACAATATGTTGCATAATTTGTAATGTTGTGTAGATTTGGCCAGGCTTTTAGAATCCTGAGGTCCATTTAGTGTATGTTTATAAAACCTGCAAATATGGAAAAATGTTTACCATCAGAGAATTTGAAGATAAAGTAAACCCAAATCACAGGCAAGATTTTCATTTTTTAATTACTTCAAAATTAATTTTTCCCCTACATTCTGGTAATTCTTAAAGGCTTAATTCCTTTCAAATTTTGGATGATCAGACATCCATCACTTTTCTGTAGAAGGTTTTTCAGTGCAAATAATTGGGTCTAGTGTCTCTGCTGTGCTCAGTCCAATTGGCCTCTCTGTGAATCTTTGTAATTCCTCCACAACATGTTCCTGCCAAAAAGAAGAAAGAATATTTGATAAGTACTATTTGACAGTGTTGATTAGATTTAATTTCAGTTATTAGTAAACCAGAAGCATTTACATGTAGATTGTGCCTCCAAAAAAATGAATGTTTAAATTATCAACCTCAATTATTTTTATTGCATGACTGACAAGCAGACTGGATATTGGAACTGGCCAATCAAAACTCAACAATTATTGGTGTCATTGGTTGGGTTGATCTTACAGATCCAAAGGTAATTAAGTTTTTTTGAGAATATTAATTAACAAATTATAACAAAATATTACATTATTTTAAGTGATCTAATAAGATAAGATGGAATTTATACATGTATACATAGTTTATACATGGTTATTAGATGTAATTTCTGCTTTACTAGGTAGTGTTACAATTTTTTACTAACATTTTTCATGTTATATTAAGTATATGATAGAAGTTTCAAGAACAAGAGAGAGAAACAATTTTGTAAGCTGCGGGCCAAGTGCTTCAAACGTAATTCTTGAGTTTCTTTAAAAATTTGCAAAGTTCCGCAAGTGTATATCTTTCAGCAATTCATGAGAAGCAAATTCCTTATTAATAAATTATAAAGTACAAAATAAGATGCTGTTAATGAATATCAAAGTACTGGAACTCAAATCAGCAACAGCCGGTGTGGATTCTAAATATTTAAACAGAAGTATTTATTTTTAGGAGAATTTTTTTTTACATTTATTTGCATATTTATTATTTAATAGTGTTATTTTCCAATTGTCTAATGACTTTTAGGTGGATGTCATCCTGGACAGGTACATGAAGTATCCAAAATTTAGAGGGGTGAGGAATTTTTTGGAAACAGAAGCGGATGATTGGTTAAACCAAGAGTCAGTTCACAGAGGTTTAGGTACACTGTATGCAGTATTAAGGACAGTCACTGTATATGCCTTAAGTAGATAGTAGATACAGTCAAACCCCTGTGGAGGGACACTACCCCCTGGGCATACATTTACAAATTCGTCTGGATGAGGATACTTCCGAAAGGAACTATTGTTGGTGACTGACGTTTCAGCAACCTGAGTGGAAGTCATTTTGTAAGTGGACCCCTGTAATATTTTTGGTCAGTAATCCCATGTAAAGGTGTCTGCTTACGAGAGGCTCTTCAGCTTTTTAGCCAATGATGCCCACAGACAAAACGATAGTGAGTTAAAACTTCCACTGGTTTAACATTTGACAACTATATCTGTGTGAGTCAAAAAACCGTGAACACTTTGATTTGTTTCTGACAGGTCGAATGTGTACTGATGAGGGGGGTGAATAGGGGTATGCAAAATACTTGTACTTGTATAATAATAACAATACTTTTGTTGATCCATGATCCGCTGTGTTTTTCCTTTTTTTCACCAAATTGGTCGATCCATCAATACTTTTGTTCAAATCCAAAACCACAACCACATCCGGAAACAGAAGTGTAAAAGTTCAAAGGTAAACTGGTAAATGTGAATGCCATTGTTAATTTCATACAAATAGTAAAGAAGGCAACATACTTGATGACTATAACTCAGTACAATTCCAATAACAGTCTCACACCTGAGTTTAAATGTGTTTTGTTCGAAAAAAGAAATAATTTGGATGAACTTATTAACATAGTGACCAAGGCTGAAGAAAGATCTATGATCCAAATTTCTTTTCGGGCCCAAGATCCGAACATCAAGACAGGCACAATCCAGAATCCGTGCCAAAATTCACAGTTGATCCATGATCCGCTGTGTTTTCAAAATCTGGGAATTCACTCGATTTACCGCAAAACTCCACAATCTGTGCGTTTTTTAAGGCCAAATCAGTCAAACCAAAAACCTATTCACCCCCATCACTGAGCAATCATAGTAAAGTTCAGGACACGCTTGCAAACCAGAAAACGACAAACCAACTACCGTTACTGTTTGGGATCTGGTTTTCTCGCGCCTAATCAGCTTTTTCCTTGCTACACAATAACATTCCATTCCATAAATATTTCTGGTGTTCATGGTTTTCTAAGTTTCACAGTTATGTAATAGTTTCTCAGCAATGAATGCTCTGGTTGTTATGGTGGTGGACCAAAGTGAAGCTCTAATGAACAGCTAACACTTGACACATCGGCTTCCTAAACTCACTTTAGCAGTTAATTAACCTTTATCAACTTAATGTTCATAAATAACTAATTGATTGAATTATTGATAGCTTACTTAGCCAGGCCTCAACTAGTAGAGAAAAAACTGAACATGTGGCACCAGTTTCCCAGCTCTCTCTGTACACATTGCAGACCTATGGTGTTTGGTTATAAGCCAATTCGGAGTTTAAAGAACTAGTGCATTGGGCATGCATTTTTATCCCTAATTTATTCTCTCCTTTTGTTATTTGAAAAAGAAAATGAAAGAAGTGAATAAATCAGGGATAAAAATGCTTGTACACAGCACTAATTCTTGAAACTCCAATTTTACTATTTGGCTTATTGGAAGCCATGCAATTTTACCTTTTTTCCACAATTTTTCTTTCTACTTACTGACCTAAAGCAACTTCATCCAGAATTAACATTCTAAAACATAATTGTATTTTTATTATATACTATTTGCTGCACAATTAGTTTTAAAACAAATCTTGCAAGCTGTGGAAACAAAATATTTTAAAGATGTGTTAAGAAAACAGTAGTCTGCAGCTTTTAACTCTTTTTTCTGTGTCTCCTTCTTTCAGGATTTCTTCAAGAAAGAGGACTCACATATGATTTACTTGTACAGTTAGTAAATTTTCCTAAAATTCCAGCAATAATTTTCATGTTATCCCTGGTCTATTATATTTTAGTTTATCAGGCAATTTATTATTTTGTTGTATGATACATTTTTTTATTGCTTTTACATTTTCGTGTAATGTGTGCAGATTTGGTGGCCACTCTCAATAAAATAATACAGCTGCTTTTTGACTCTTTCATTTAGAGCAAGGCATCTTAAACTGGCTAGTGATGTTGTGAAGAAATTTCCAAAGTAAGTGTTTGCATGCTTTGTTGAAGACTTGATTGTAGAGTGGCTCTTCAGGATGTTTGAGAGATGTTTGTTTTAAAGAACTTCCACGGCACGGATTTCCTATAGTCCTGTTTTGATTTTGATCTCTGTCTGGCCTGGGGGGTGGACTCCCAGGGGGTACTCATGGGGTACTCATCGGAAACTTGAAAAGCACCCCCAAGAGGTACCAAGATCCTTTTTTTGTGAGCGTGGCTTGAAATGTTTTTCACCCTTAATAGGTAACAATTCTACAAACAACACATTTAATGTGTTTTTTGTAGAATTTATCTCCTGTCATATTTTTTTCGGCTCAATACCCTATAAGGTACCGCACAATTTCCCCCCCTGAACCACTGAGGCTGAACACCCCAAGAGGTACCAAAACTGCTTTTGTAACCCCTAAAAGGTAGGACGAGCACCCCCGTCTTTTTTATTTGGGGACTGATAGCAGCAGAGGTACTTTTATAACTGGACTTTCCATCCCATTTACAAAAAGAAACCTGAATTAAGAGCCACAAGACAACTGTTAATGTGCAACCAATGTTATTTTTTTAGAGCGGTTTTCAGTTGAGTGTCGTAAGACCAAAACCAAACCGATTACGTACCAATGAGACTACTGTACTCTGCCAATCTCAAACCGTAGTAAAACCAAGAGCAAAGTAATTGCCTGATTACTATCAACACACACTTGAAAAACGCTCTAATGTACGTGCATGTAATGACTCTGTTCAAGCCAGAATTGAAATCTCCTTTCTTGGGTTGATACACGTGCAGTCAATAAAGACCAGTCTAATATAGGATATCAACCTATTCCCGTAACTTGAGAGCAGTCTTATATCGATATCGAAGCGGTCAACTGAAATAATTACATTAAGAATTTACCTTAATATCCTTGTCATGGCTTAATAATAATTTGCGGCAATGTGCATATGGTGAAGAAGAGTCTTGAGAACGTTGAAAATCTGAAAATAACTCTCGCCGCAGTAACAATATTATGCAAGTAACACTACAAGGAAGTTGTTGCTTATCAGCGTTCACAGGTCTTGATTATAACTTGTCTTTTTCCAAGAAGGGTCCAATCAGGCTTAGAGTGAAACACGGACTGCGCTTGTCGATGTTATGTGCTTATCACAGTATCGACACAGTAGTGCAAATCAAAGCCAGAAAATGTATGACAGCTCTACCGAAAGCGGTCAAGAATCAAGACTCCTCCGATTTGTACTTACCATTCAGAAGAAAAAAAATTGACTTGATTTTATTTCTTCTGATTTCAAGTTTGAAGTTTGTGGTTGACCATGCTGGAAAACCTGAAATAAAGAAAGGAATGGTGGATGACTGGAGAAGTGGAATGAAATTGTTGGCTCAAAATCAAAACGTGTATTGCAAAATGTAAGTAAAGCCCGTGAGTGGTGAGTCTTTCAAGTTCAAGTATTTAATCCAGTGTAGTGCAGTGCATTTTAGTAATAAAAGGCTTTCTGGCAGTTTCTTTGAATGTGCGAAAATTTGCAAAAAATTGAAAATACGTTCGGTAGATCGAACGTTTGAGACATATATTCAGTTTCTGTCAGAAAAGTTTCTCGTTTTCAGTTGAAGAAATTAGAGAGATTTGGCTAAGAAAGGTTGAAAACGAAAGATCCATGATGGTGTTAGGAATAGCCGAAGCAAATTTTAAATAAGGCTCTTGAATTGATTATTCAAGTCGGTTCGGGTTGCAATGGTCAACGTACGTGTCAAATTGCACGTAAAGAGAGAAATTACCTTTTTTCCGCACGGTTGAGAAACACCGTTTAAGGTTGTAATTGGTTTCGTAACAAAAGAGCATACTTATTAGAACAGATACTCATGTATGTTGGAATAACATAAGGGTTACAGCTCTTCAAACCCCCGACTGTGCAAATTTATAACATTAAGTCCAACCCACATCATCATAAGGTTACATATCCGCAAATTATCTCAAAATACCCTTCTTTCTTTGCAGCTCGGGATTTGTGACGGAAGCGTCCCGCGAAATGTGGAAACGTGAAGATTTAGCCCCTTATGTGCAGGTCAGTTTCCACTGTGCGGAATGTTTTTCGTAACTGAGAAATATAACTGCATGGGAGTTTTTTTTTAGTCAAACCAAGTGAAGATTACATTAATGAATTGATTATTTGAATATGGAACCCGCTAATCGTTTCAAGAATGCAATAATGAATTTATTACTTGAATAGTGAACTCGCGCTAGTCCTTTCAAAAATCAACATTAAATTGATCTTCTTGAACATGAAACCCATTAGCCGTATTCTTGGAACGACTAGTGGGTTCAATTTTCAAATAATCAATTTATTAATGTAATCTTGAGGGGTACGCTTCACTTGGTTTGACTGTAAATAGGTCACAGCTCCTCGACCTTTATGAAAACTCAAAATTAGCTAAAATTTTGTTTTAAGTTAAAACGTTGCCGAAAACGCGCTAGTTCCGTGACTGGTACTCAGTCTCCCGTCTGTCCCCTTTCAGAAAGTATGAGAGAGGTCTACGAACCAATCAGTCTGAGGTGCCAACTTGAAGATCTGCTTTTGATTTGACCTCCATGGTTTCTGTAAGTTAATTGGTTGTAATGCAAGCCATATAATCACTGATTTATCAACCTTTAAAAGAAACTATGTCTCGAATTTGATCGGTCATTGTTTCCTTGGGCTCCCAATGTCCCTATAAGACTCTCAAAGTCGCAAGGTTTCGTTGCTCCATTATATATTGAACTACCTACATTTGTTTTGTAGCACGTGACTTCCGTATTTGGAGCAGACCGCTGTATGTTTGGCTCTGATTGGCCAGTTTGCACCCTGGCAAGAGATGGCTCTTANGGGGTCAACGTATGTGTAATAGCTCGTAAAGAGAGAAATTACCCATTTCGGAACTTTTTCTATCCCGCAGCTGGAGAAACACCGTTTAAGGGCCTGTTTACAAGGAGAGAGGGTTATCCTGGCAAGCTTGTTACCCTAGCAAGCCTGGTTACCCTAGCACTCACACATTTCCTCTTTTATTTCTTCGTTGTGTTTACAAGGCAGCTAGGGTTATCCGAGTAGGCGGGTTACCCTATCTGCGTGCCAGGGTTACCCTGGCAGGCGTGCTAACTTTTCTCTTGTAAACCCTTCAGGTAGGGTTCACCCGCCCATCCGGGTTAACTTTCTACTTGTTTCCAAACCCTTTGAGTGTAACCGCACATTAAGTGGTCCCGGCCGGGTTGTGGGGTTATCCTACCTGTGAAATTTTGCTTGTAAACGCGGGCTATCTTTTGCCCTCCAGCTAGGGTTAACCCGCTCACTAGGGCAACCCTCCCTCCTTGTAAACAAGCCCTAAGGCTGTAATTGGTTTCGCAACAAAAGAACGTACTTTTGAGAATAGACACTCGTATCTCTTAGAATCGTAAGTTTCCTAGGAGTTGATGGTTACAGCTGTTCAAACCCTCAACTGTGCAACTTTATGACATTTAAGTCTAACTCACATCATCAAAAGGTTACATACCCCCAAATTATCTCACTATACCCTTCTATATTTGCAGCTCGGGACTTGTGACGGAAGCGTCCCGTGAGAAGTGGAAACATAAAGATTTAGCCCCTTATGTGCAGGTCAGTTTCCACAGGGCGGAACGTTTTTCGTAACTGGGAAATATAACTGCATGGGAGTTTCTTTTTAAATAGGTCACAGCTCCTCCAAGACAGTTGGGTTTAATGCAAACCATATATGTCTCGCTCAGTCCGTGAAATTTGATCGGTCATTGTTTCCTTGGGTTCTCAATGCCCCTGTGAGACCCTCAAAGTCGCAAAATTTCGTTGCTCCATTATACATTGAACTACCTGCATTTGTTTTGTAGCACGTGACTTCCATATTTGGAGCAGACCGCTGTATGTTTGGCTCTGATTGGCCAGTTTGCACCATGGCAAGAGATGGCTCTTATGAGCAAATCTTTTGCGCTTACTTCCAGTGCGTTTCACATCTCTCAGAAACGGAGAAGGAAGCGGTTTTCTGTGACAACGCCGTGAAATTTTATGGACTTAACTGACGAATGAATAATAACTAGTTCTAGTTAGAGATTTATTACCACTGCCTTGGGATATAGTGCAAATTTCTAAACCTATTTCACAAAAAGGGTCATTATAGGAAAGTATTTGCGCTATAGTTCACAGATATAGATGATATATGAGAGATAATTGATAGGTACAGATTTTAATGTAGCAAATATTTTTATCTTTTTCATAATTGTACGTAGTTATTTTATCCATTTAATTGTGTATTATGCACGGCTTTACTATCAACCTTTTCCATGAATATTTTTAGCTGCCGTGGATAAATAACTGACTAACTAACTAAATAAATAAATATTAAATAAATAAGAACAGATAAAGCTACATTGGTCACCTCTCTTCCACACGGTGTAAACGGCATGTGCTGAGTGGTGGTAGAAAGAAAAAAAGCGTCTGTCGCACATTTGCGCGCTTCACTAATTTTCACCCCTTACTCTGTGCGGATTAAAGATTTGATTTTACGGCTCGTAGCAGGTGCAAACTATAATTCCATTCCACAAATCATGCGGAAGCGGACTGGTGATAGCGTCCTACGCAGACGGTCTTTTTTGGGGGTTTGTCACGCAATCTTCCTCCGTCACGAACGCCTGCTCATACACAGGGCTATTCACGTAGCCCAATCACAGCGCACTTCCCGATCAAGACAACGAACTTTGGACCCGGAGACATTTTGCAAGGGACTTCAGCGGATACGAGCTTTGCCTTTCAACGACTGTTTGAAGGAAGATTGCGTGACTAGCCCAAAGAGGCTAGGCCTGTCCTTTTGGTAATGTTGCAGTCAGGTAAAACTATTATTAGGAAGTGATAGAGGTTATTTTTTTCATTAAAAGTCAATTTAGATGTAACGACTTACATTTACTGCTCCATTGGATTGTTTCGTGTATCAACCAATCAAATGCGAGAAGATAGCACGTGTGAGTTGAGAAAAAGATCCTTCAGCCTGAACAACAAATTTGATGCTCAATACTAAATGCGTCATTTTCTGTGGTAATCCATTAAAAATCTTCCGTAAAACTAGAAGCCTAGCATCAGTCATTTTTGTCTTGAGCAAATTATAGTTGGTGATTGCTGAACTACATGTAGGCTCAATTACCAGCAGCCGCTGAGGGGCGGACACGAGAAAACGGAGGAAATCGAGCCTAAACTACATGTTGCGTAGTAAGAAAACAAGAAAATGATACTTTATGTTCACCCCACAGCTGTAGCTTGCACATGCGCAGAAACGTGAAACGAGCGTTAAAGAACACTTTGTAGAGGAGAGAAGGATTCGTCACAACAGGGTCACCACATCAGTGAATAATAGATCAGATCGTTATTTTATTGCAAAGATTTCCTATTCTTGATTAAAGTGAATAAAATTCATTTACTGGTATGCCGTACTATGATCTATATTGAACAACAGATTTGCAGGGGTACATCAATAGCCCAATTTCGATATATTAAAATTCAGCCTAAAACAATGGACCTCGGTACGAGACTCCGGGGAATAATCCCCACAAACTCTGTAGTTAGTCCCCGGAGCCTCATGCTGAAGTCTATTGTCTTAGGCTGTATATTAATATATCGAAATTGGTCTATTCATTAGATATCAGTTTTGTGTTTGATCTCTTTCAGTCGCTCATAGGATGCAGTGGCATTTCAATGAATATGGCATGACTGGGATATGAATAGCCCATTTTCGAGTTGCCTTTTGCTTCTGGGTCAAAACGAGACCATTCATATGGTAATGTTTCTGGAGTTCAACTGAGGAGCTGGAGGAGGAGTTGGACGATGTCACTTGCGATCAGGCGTTCCTTTTTTGGCGAACGGGAGAAGGGAGAAAGAGAACGGCTGATCGCAGGTTAGGACGGTTGCTATGGAAAATCGACACTTCAGTGTGGCCCCTGGCACAGAATCAAACGTAACTTGTTTAAATAAAGAAAAAATTAAATTAAATAAAGTAACTTACCAAAAGGCCCTTAGATTCAAAGGTTAGTTGAAATAGGTCAATTTGGATAAATCCTAACTTGGCTCCGGGGCTTATGGGAATGAAACAAAAGAATCACATCAAGGTGAATATCCTATGTTTTGTTCGCCCATGCCAAACTCTTTTTTGGTTTGGCAATAACCAATAATATTCGACCTATTGTAATCAAATACGGTGGAACCCCGTTAATCCGGTCACAGACGGGCCCAAAAATCTGGCCGTTTTAAAGGGGTTCTGTAAATAAGAAAATGACTGACTGAGCTTTTTTTCAGACCAAAATAAAGTGGCTGTGATAACAAGGTGACCGTATTAACGGGGTGGTCGTAAGGCGGGGTTCCACCGGTTTTAGCCAGTCAATCCTAGTGCTGACCCACAGGGGACCCGAACACTATCAGCAATAAAAATAAAGGTACTGTTATTTACCATGTCATGCTATGTACCTGTGTCTTTTTTAGTCGTGTAGAAGGGATTTGAATGAAGCGAAGACGGTTTACATTAATTCCGAATATTATCTCGTTTGCCGCATTGTAATTATGACGCTTCGATTACGCGTCTCAGGTCGTTAACTATTAACTCTGAGTTAATAGTTAACGACGTTACTCGAAACTTGAGACGTGATCGGAGCGTCAAGCGTCATAATTACAATGCGGCAGACGAGATAATATTCGGAAATGTAAACCTCCTTCGCTTCATTCAGCGCTGCATGACGGACGAACACAAATCACTGCTGTCGGTCATGTATGTGTGACTGTATCGATACTGAAAAGCGGGACTCTTCAATCAACGGTATTTAACACTCTTCAATCCACGACTCTTGAGTATGGAGAACGTTTACGAACCACTATTAACTGCAGTAACGCTTGAAGATTTAACAGATTCACTTTCTAGTGGAGACATTGCTCTAAGCGAGGAGCAGCGTGGATTTCTTGATGCAGTTCGTGAAGGGCGCACACACGAGGTTCGTTCGTACGTGCAGGAGAAACATGTTGATGTAAACTGTGTCAACTTGTCGGGGGAAACCGCACTGCAGCTAGCGGTGAACAACGACCGCCATGATATCGCAAAATTTCTGCTCGAAAAGGGAGCCGAAGTCGGCACGACATTACTACAAGCTGTTGCAAATGGGTCGGTCGACTGGGTGAAGGCATTGCTCGAGTTCGTGCGCGATACCGAGCCTCAGGGTGCAAGTTCAAGCAATGTTTCTCAGTTTTCACAACAGACAAGCAAAGCTCAGTACAGAAAATTCATTTCGCCTTTGATGCTGGCTTCGCACAATGGTAACCGAGAAATAGTGGAGCTTTTGCTAAAGAGGGGATATAAGATTGAAGAACCGTCATTCCACAATAGATCTTGTGATGGCAGTGAATGCGAGAGCTTCGGAAAGCGATTGGGGAGTTCGCTTTATCGTTTGCATAGCTACCGAGCGCTTGCAAGCCCTGTTTTCTTGTGCATGTCTTACTTACTCGAGAACTCCAGCGAGAAATCCGACGAAGAACGAGACATAAGATCATCGAAAGACCCAATCATCCGAGCGTTCTTTTTAAATCGGAAGTTAGAGAGTCTGGTGGAGACTGAGTATGAATTCAAGAACGATTACAAGAAGCTGTCGGATGGATGCGAGGAGTTCGCGGTTTCGCTTCTCGCAAAGTGCCGATCGATGGAAGAAATTGCTTGTGTGATGA